ATTGCGTTGCAAGAAGGGCGATGCGAAAAAGTTGAGGCACGAGTCTGCTAGGATAACCGTAGCAGACCTTGGACCAAATATACTTCCCTTTCTCACGCTACTCTGTATCCTTTGTTTTCCTTCTAATACCTTATAGCACGCATTACCATAAAATAGAAAAACATAGAAAAACACGATCACAGAATCATAGCTAGAATAACCTTACCGATGAGTACACTAACAGATCTCGTATCAGAAATGCCTCTTCCCTTTCTTGCGCTGTTCTTCCCTCTCCTCATCTTTCCTCTTTTAATACACTATAGCGTTACAATTGTTTCATATATTATTTACGACAGATAGCTATTTGGAAATAATTTTAATATAAATAAGTAAACGGTTATTTTTAATTTATTGCATTCCACAATGTTATTTTACGTTTTGTTTTCAAATTGTAACTTTCGATGGTTTTTCGAATACTGTTCGTGTTTTATTTATTTATTTATTTATTTATAAATTCACAGATATAGTCACGGTATATGTATACTACGTAGATAGAAGTGTTAACTATTGCGTATAGCAGAAAGAATTGAGCGTTTGAAAAGTAAAGAGAATCTCCCAAAAAGTTTACAGAGTCGTGAAAGCAATTTGATTTTATACATAAACGATTAATACTGTAATAGCGTTGTCCGTACAACATGGTACATGCGTAGGAACAGAGAAAATAGTATGATTTCTCAGTAAACGCGATGATAGATGAAGATGAAGTATTCGCAAGTTACATCCGGAACATGTAACTGTCGTGTTCTAATTCGTTAATGTATTTTCGATTAATAATGTTGCAGCATCGTGTTTAGTGTTGCAGTGAAAGGTTTCGCAGCATCGTTATTACGCGAAGAAATCTGAAATTGGATGTAAACACCTTACATGTACTGAAGTACACGCGTGATCTAAAATATATACGAGAGATATGATATAGATAATGCAAAAATTAGCAACAAAGTCTAGAAACGAATGTCCGACAAATACGTAATTGCCTATAAATATTTAGAAAAAGTTGATTCACACGTGTCTAACGTTAAACTAGCATTACTGAAAGCTCTTTACATATCTTAATACGCGATTGTCTCGAGCGAGATAACAGAGTCGTAAAATCAGTCGAGCGCAAAAGTACGAATGCTCTAACTTCCGAAGCAGCACTTTAATACATGCTGGAGAGATAATTCACTCGAGCGTTAATTAATGCCGCATCTATGCCGATCTACAATGGAGTCCTCTCTAAAAGGAGTGCTAGGTACTTTTGAAATTAATTTACGGAAAATTAAAGTTCCTTCAAACCTTCAGAGTACCGAAGGAAATTGAATATTAGTAAACGACGATGAAACGCAAGTTAAAATTTGAAATACGAAGATTAATCGATGATACTTTTCTTCCTGTTTTATTTCTCAGAGTTAAGTACCTGCGACTACAAATTGCACATTCGAGTAACAGCGACATTGACCATATCGTATAATAATTTCAGACCTCGTTGTATCGCACAGATCAACCGCGTATATGTCGAACTACAGTGTGAGTCAGTCTAACATTCTCATCTCCACCCGATGCACACCTCGCTTCGCTGGAGCGAATCCTCTCTCTTCTGTCACAGGACTATACAGATCCTAAACCCATCCTGCCTTTGGACGAAGAATCATACACCTCGTTAACGAGATGCTCAACAGCCGCATCACCTCTTTAAATGGATTCTCGCAAACGTTGTTAGCAAACTTCACGTCGTAATGCTCGTGTCCCAAGAGGAAAGAATCGAGAATCTGACCAAAGGGTGTTAATATGCCAAGCAGCAAAAGGATAGAATAAGCTAGGAATTAAGGCAGCTAGGGAAACAAATAAATGTTTAAGTTTGGACGACGATTAGAAAGACTAGCTTTTGTTACAAAGTGGAACCTCTTTTATAGGTATAGTAACGCCGTGTGCATTTTGGGGCAGTCAGCAGGACTCGAATCTCTTCTTGGAAAATAAGCTTCTAGGGGAGTCAATCAGGATATACATATTTCCTTGGGAGTGATGCAATGTAGTAGAATTTCGGAAAGTCGCGTACATGCAATATAAGTTTGCCTTACATTTGCGTAGTTGACTACAGAGAAAGTGGAAATGTTTTTATTTCTCTGTTGTGTCTGGACAAGACGTATCAGATACGATTAATTAACCGGCAATAATTAATTGGCAATAAACCGAATTAGTGGTACGCGTACGAATCAGCGACACGTATGAAACGTGACAATCTTCGCGAGTCCTTCATATTTTTCTATGAGTGGAAATTTCTTCTCTTCGAATAATGGAAACTACCTATTCCAACTATAATTCCAATTACCGAAATTTTCTTCGTCTTCCACTAAAAATTCGATAAAGTTTGTTTCTTTAAAGATTCGGTATCCGATTTCCTGTTTATATTTGTATTCAAAGGCATTTTTATCTCATACACTCATTTAAAAAGAAAGACGATAGATAGGTAAAATTCTTTTATATATAAAAATGAGTATGAAATGTACCCTTGGTCGGGTTATTTGTTACTCGAAGGATAATAAGGTTGAGACAAAAACTTTGTAATATAAAAATTTTGACACAGTTTAATATCTGATATAAATACCCTTCGCGTTAATGGAAGAATACAGGAAATATTCCAGTCATTTGTATTTTTTTTAAATGGAATGCAAGAATTTTTTTCATCGTGCAGTAATCGCTGCTGCGACAATTTTATAATGTTATTTGGGCTTGACCTCCCACATTATAACGAGTTTAGCTCGTGATGTTTCATACCAAAGTTCACAAAAATCAGCCATGTTTACCATACGATTAAAATTACGCAATATGTTTTAACGGGTATTTAAATCCTAAAGACTTTCATAATTTTTGCGAAAGAAATAAATTAAAATTAAGTAATTATTCAATGCATAGATTTTCGTAATTAAATTATAGTGCAAGAGGTTAAATATAATACTAAAATGAGTCTTCACAAAAATGTATTTACGTTTTAATGTTAATTAATTTACCATATTATTATTAAATTTACAATGTAACGAATTACTTATAATATAGATCATGTAATACAAGATCTTAATAAGAAACGAAGCAACCGAGATCGTATTTCGGCTTATTTTCATTTGGAAAATCTCATACGAATATATCAAGAACAACTGAAAATTTTTTATTTCTCTTATACAGTGTCTCATCTTTCTTGACATACGATTAATGGTCATCGGTCAAAACAAACATAACTGATAGTCTGTTCAACTCGCTTCTACGGTACATGTACATCTACATATACACGAGTAAACGCGTAAATATTCTGCTCGGAGGAGTGGTGATAACTTTCCTTTAATGTAATTTCTGCGCTGCCGTTACAATAATCCTGATAACACTGTATACGAAAACTCGTTTGTTTTCTGCCACGTGAACACGAAAGATATGAAAAATACAAATAACAAAGTTCGATATCCAAAAGCGAATATACGATAACCATTTTGGCAAAAAGTCTTCTAAATATCATTTTATTGTATGAAATATAACGTACGAATAACAAACTTTCTTCGAATTATTGATATTGCCTAAAGCTTTCAGCACTCCATTGTTTGTGCACGCTTTTTCGTACGCCTGTATCAAAGAAGTCATTCGTCCGTTTAATGGATAAGTGGTTGTAGTTTTCATTTTTGTTTTGAATGTTCCATTCTTTTCGTATCGAATATTGTAACTTTTATGTGAATTTTTGATCTCTTTTGCATTGTATCTATTATTGTCGCCATTGTCGATAATGCAGTAACTCTTGACTGAGCGATTACATTTCCTCTAATTGAAATTCTTCGTAATCAGCTTTACCGTTTCTCTCTTTCCTTTCTTCGTGCATTATTATTGAAAGAACAAATATTAATTTGCATTAAAACTTCAATTTTATCGAAATTTACATTGTTCCATATTTTTTACTAAATTTTTATGAAACTTTCATCCGCCAATTATTATAATTCTTCTATTTAAAGGAAAATTCAAATACGATGTAGCTTAATTATTCCATCTTAACAAAGCCCAAAATTATATTTGTCCGTTTACAAGTACTTGGTGTTAGAGAAAAAGACAAAACGATTTCACGATGATCAAAAATTGATTTTTGTAATGTTACAAATTAAAAAAAGTTCGAATGTCTATTGAAAAAGAGCTAATTGTATTATAATATGGTAGAAAGTTTTTTTTTAATATTTGCTTTCGTTTTATTGTAATCGGTGCGCAAAGTCAAGAGAATCTGAAGAGTCGAATGCTCATCGACAACCTGTCGTCAAACTCTCGGTACTTGTAGCAAAGCTGAGAACTGCTCATTAGCGACGAGATGCTAGAGACAATTTAAAATTTTCAACAAACGCTTTCGTTTTATACTTTAATCTTATCGACGTCGCGTTTTCAGAGGAAGCGGTATTGATTACGCTTTTCCTGTGTATTCGTGTTTCTTTATAAATACATATATCTAGATCGCCTTAGAACGTGATCAGTGTGAGGTTCCATCGCAAAGAAATCAAGGTTAGAGATATTTGGATTACACCGATCGACCCGTATTTTCGTCCCGATTTTGTCTAAAAAGCATATATAGAATGATATAAATATAAAATTGCGATTTCTCCTTGCTACAAAAATAAAATTACTTCTTATTTAAAATTTTATTCAAATATTTCTATTATGATGATATTGTTGCAAATATTATTTATTTCAATGTTATTTTCCGCTTTATTTTCGTTTTTAATTTCGATAAGTTTTAATTTCGATATTTTCTTGATAAATGTTTATTCAGGTATAAAAAATATATAACTGTGAGATTTATACAAATTTTGATTGTCCGAAAATTCGAACCAAGTATTTCATTGTTGGTTAGCAGTTTCGGCAAATTAATTATATATAATGTTAAATTGACGAAGATAGAAATATAAATTTTGGTATTTTAATTATTTGCAGCCTTTTTCTTTTCTGTTTTCTTTTTGTTACAGCCTCAGCACAAAGGAAGATATATTCTCGAATATGTATGCAAGCAACTCAATATCTTGGAAACGGATTACTTTGGACTTCGCTACGTGGATCATTGTAGGCAAAGGGTAAGTTCCATTATATTTCCTTACAAGCTTTATTGTTTAATTTAATTTTTTCATAATAAAATGTAAAATTTTCTTTTTATTACTTTGTATTTATTACTAAATGTTACTGTTAATGCATAAACTAAACTACTTTCTCTGATACCTTATTTCTTCATTTCCTTTGTAAGTGTAAAATTCTTTTATTTTATTTCATGTTTTTACAATGAGCATACATATATAGGTAAATCAGTAAGAATTAAAAATTTCTTTGTATAAACTTGTTTTAGTACAAGAACGAATTATTGGTTCAGGAACTAAAGAGTATCTCCATATTGATTTGCTATGGTACGGAATATATTAATTCAAGATATTTTACGACGTAGTCCAATAAATGAAAAGTATTTTCATATGATTTACTAGGACACAAAATGCGTTAATTCAGGGTATTTCGTAAAACGCGAGACTCGCTTCAGTTATGGATACGAGACACAAATAGCATTTGGAAGATTTACATCGACATGCATGTTATTTAATGTTATTTAACTTCTGTTCCGTAATACGTAACTATTTACTTAACCACTAATGGAGAGGAGAAGATAATAAAGGAGGATGTTAATAAAAAAGGGCCATTTTTGGCATCCCTTAGAAATGAAACATTCCTTCGAGACCTTTAAGAACATCTCGCAAGGAATAAAAAATGCATATATCACTTTGCCGAGAAACGATGGGTGTAGCGTCCTACGGAATCGAATCTCTTTGATTTTCAAGAACGCTTATCACGCGCCAAATTAATATTGCGTGACTAGTTGCGATAATAAGGATCCAGAATGTGTGTGGTCAAAAGAGAGTGTTTATTTACAGAAAAGCGTAGAATAGTTATAATGTAGACGTTAACGGAGTACCGTTTCGAACACGCGTTTGTATGTGTAATTTAGATGTTTTAAGGATCGGTGCCGAAGACGAACTGACTTCTCGATTTTGCTCTATGTCCTGTCTCGTCGTGTTCGGTCCGGTGTTTTCTCTAGTTTAGTTCTGATTGGGTAAAATAGATGTTGGTGGTGGAAAGGTAAAGAGTTTTAATTGGACAGAGGGTGTGACACAAGGACCTTTGGCTAAGGAGTAGGAAACTGTCAAGGAGCCGATTTCTGATGGTCAATGACGTGATTTATAAGTGCCGTCCGTCCGTCGCTTGTTGGGTCTGTCACAAGTGGGTCCCATCTGTCGCGTCTGGTACTAGTAAAATTCCTAATTTTGCGTTACCTTTATAAGCTTAATCCGCTAGAACGGCGTTAAGGCACATCGAACCTCCGGAATTGCAATCGCATTATAAAATATAAAATAAACCGTTAGGTCTGTTAAAAGTGTAAGCCTTAATTATAAAATCATATTCTAAATACGCTCTCCGGGACGGAACAATGGGGGAAGTTATCAAAGATGAGACGAAGTATGTGGACATGAGACTGACCATACTTGATCGTCGTGTTTCGCGGTCTTCTACTTCGGTACTGTATCATGATACAATCCCGAAATGGGATGAATCTAAAAATAATGCATCAATTCTAAATGAACTGTCGTTAGGAGTCGATACCTGCGACTAACATGATTAAAGGTCCTGAAGGAATTTTTCATTTCCAAGCGATTCCAAAAATGGCTGTTTTCTAATATTCTCCTTTACAAGCATTACATTTTAAAATTCTGGTCTTTTAAAATATGAGGATTTTTATTTAGCTTCGTATATACATATGCAGATAGTTTAGTAGAATCGATCCAATTTTCTCAACTTGTCATTAACAATTACTTCATTATCCCAAAACGGGGCTATTGACTAATAACAAGCTTAATTAGGACAAATACTTGTACGATTTTCATATTGCTTTACTTTCTCTTTTTATTGTAGATTGAAGGGTATATATCAAACACAATCAGTGTCAACTTCTTTGAGTTTTTAAGTAATAACTCGTTCCAGTAGTTAGAAATAAGACTCACATCTGTAAGAATAAGCGAGTCCGGTTATTGATAAGTGAGGAGGAGCGCGGAGTGGCGATAACCAGAGTCTCAAACGAAGCAACGATCCGCGGGTAGACAAAGGAGGCCCTCCTTTAACACGTTGAGTGCGGCGCCGATTTTGCTATACTTTCTGCTTAGGCGGCAGCGAGTGTGCACTTGACGCCGAGCGCTCAAGTATACTGAACAGTATGAGCAGAAGATTACTTTGTTTCACTTTGTCGTTTGGACTGTGAGAATGGTACCGCCAATGCACAAATATACAAATTATAAACAGAAGATAATGGGGTGGGGAATGCCAGAAAGGCAAAAAGGCGATCACCAAGAAACGATCAGTCGAAAAAAGCCACGGAAGTGTAAAGATTTACTTTAGCAGAGGGAATTAAATTTTTACAATATATTAATTGTCATTGATAATTTAACCCTTGACAATGCCAGTCTTACGCACCGATGATGATCAAACGAAAAATTCGCTGTCAGTCCCTAGAATCCACACCGTCCAAACGAAAAGTCTACTGTCAATCCCTAGGGACTGACGCCGCCTGAACGGAAAGCTGATCGTGAGACGCGGACAGGACAGTTTTATGTAGACAGTTTTATCTAAGAGATTAAAAGTACGATCAGCCACCAAGAGTTAGAATTATCAACCCAGTCATCTATTCTCCTCCCCTTACACGTCATCGTGAATTGTAAAAGGTAATGTACTTCCTGAATTATAATATAAGAAATACTTACTCTATAAAAACGAATCGTACCATATTTTGTTTTTGTCTTGAAAAATAAATAAATTGATAGGAGTTGTTTTTTATATGTACCTCTCGATTAATACGTAATAGCGTGTATCGGCTGCACTTAAATGACTTGGATCTTGTAATCATCTTGTAATCGTCTTATAATCATCTTGTAATCACTGTTGATTGGAGCAATGAGCGGAGCGATAAGGTACAAAGAAAAAGCCAGAGCATCCAAAAAAGAACTAGTACAGGAAGAGAGAGAGGGAGAGAAGGATGATAACCAAAGCTGAAAAGGGGAACACTAGAAGAAGAAGGGTAAAAAAAAGGAGAGATGGATGGAGTGAGAAGGAGGAAAGAAAATTTAGAAGAAAAAGTTATAACAAGTAGGAAAAAAAAGGAAAAAGTAGCAAGGAAGAAAGAGTTCGAAGAATTTAAGTGTAATAAGGAATACAAAACATTGATAGTAGAAAAGAAGCAAAAATACTTAAAGGACCGAATGAAAAACAAAGATAGAAGAATGATTGCAAGATACAAGTACGGAAATGAGGTAAAATGAGAAAAGTATTGGAAGAATGCAGAAGAGAGAAAGAGAATGCAGACTGTGCGGGAAAATGAGAAAACTATTTGAACAAGAGGAGAAGGGTTAGAAATGACTCTAGAAGCGGAATGAAAAGGGATAAAGGCGCTAAAGAGAATGTAGAAAGAAAGGGAGAAAGCAAAGAAGGAAATGGAAGATAAGCAAAAACAGTAAGGTAAATAGAAATTAGAAAACAGGTGGAGTAGAGTGCAATGTGAGAAGACTGAGGCAATGAGAAGCAGGAGAAGAGACGAAGTAGTCGAAACTGAAGAAAAAGAGCACCAAAGAGGCAAGAAAAAGGAAGAACGGGAGAAATAATAAATAAAACCGAGGAATATGAAAAAGATAAGTATGGCTAAATTAAGTTAAATATGGAAAAAGCTTTTGACAAAGTCTGGCATCAAGAACTGCTCGAGAAATTGCAACGTTTACTACCCACATCGTTACACGCAATAATGTAGGATGCCAAAAACTGGTTTTATTTTGCCTTTAGCATTACAGAAATAACGCATATGTGTTCCTCCTTTTACCAAAGAAATACTGGGTCTGCGTGAACAGTTTGAGTCACCGGAAACGTACAGAATAAAATGAACAGAATGAAACGAACACCAAACGTGGAAACTGATTAAACGCAGGAAAATAATACTAAAATAACGTATGTAATTATGACACACGGAAAACATGCTTTTATTCGTCTCTCTTCGACACTGAACGATTCACGTTTGTTCCGTCGTGGAACAAGGAAGACCCATTACGGTCTTCCAACAGCCAGGTCTTAGGGTCAAACAATTCGACATAGGAATTTTCCTCTCCATGCCTTCAGCATGTTTCAATGCTTCTACCTTTTTTCTTTGACTTCTCGTGTCGCGGAACACGAGAATCCTGGAAATCCCTAATTTAACGAAATTAGGCGACGGCTCTTAAGACTTGGCTGACAATAGGCCTGAGGGCTTTACGTGGTCCGCACACGTTGGAACCCTCAGGCCCTCGCTATGGGTCATAAACGACCGATGGGGTGACCAGCGCGCGGGTGGACCCCAGGCACCCCACCTTGGAGGAGAGGGTTTCCTCCACTATCGTTTACTTTTTGGGGGAACCTTCCCTTTCTCCAAGGTCACCGATTCGCGAACCAAGGGAACGCCCTTGGTCAAAAACAGCCAATTACATTTGGCGACCTCCCGATTTTTCCTAAGGCCGATCTTGGGAAGATCGAGGAGCTCACTTCCTTGCGAACCAACAGAGACATCGGTTCTCTTGAAACAGTTCCAGTTAAGTCATCAGAGTCACCAGTTTCTTCAAAATCAACGAGACACCACGTTTGCTTCGAAACGTCAAAGACACGACTCCTTTCCGCACGTGCAACTCAAACAGTTGCCCAAGATTAATTTGGCGGGCAACATTGCGAGGTCGCGAGACGGATTTACGACACGTCCGAATCCATCAGCATTCAATCGCGACGCAGCAAAACGTTTGTTCCGGTCACAAACTATATTCACGAAGATTCTTCGAGGCTTCTCCAATCAGGTCTTTCCCTGTGTCGTCGAGGTTCCTGTTTCTATGCCTTTTGCAAAGCTTGATGACGTGCTTTTATCAATAACTACTTGGCTGATACGATCCAACCGATTACTTTCACTCCTCTACTTTATACCATCTACGCGGAAATATTCCAACAGATCAAAACATTTCAATCTACACGTTTGCAGGTG